ACTGGCGACGGTCACAAGAACGCTGCTGCCCAGGCTCCAGCTTGTCTCGCCCTGCAGCTGCGGAAGATGGCGGAGCTCTTAACTCCCTGTGTGAAGTGTTTCCCCAACCATGCACCGCCGCCGAAACCTCGGAGACAGCACGGGCTCAAACGCATGGCGTTGAGTTCAGTGGCCTTTTGCATAAAACGCCCGAAGCACCTTATGGCTGCCCCCTGAACAACAAGGAGGCGCAGGGTCTTTCTGTGTCTTACCTGCCTGACATCCCTCATCTTCGAAGCGCGGCTCCGAAGAGCCCGTGGCGCGGAACGAGGCCTTCAACTCCCCCACACGTCGTTGCCCAGAGGCCTCCCAGATGCAACCGAGGCTCTATCGGCCGTGCAGTTCTCGAAGGTCACCGTGCTTTCTGCTTGTTGGGAGAAACTGCCGACCGTGTAGAGGCCACCGCCTGGGCACAAGGAAGCCCTGGCTTTGAATGCAAACGTTTTAGGGTGAAGGGTCTCCAATCGACAGTGACATGAGAAACGATGTGAAGGCTACTTGACTTTGGCACGCAAGTCTCTTTAAAGGGACTCTGTGGCCCTTTTGAATGCAGGGTCTTGCCGGCAGACCACTCCGAATGGTTACACCCTCGGCTTGGTCGACCGGTTTATGGTCTACAGGGCCGGCCTCCTGATGCACTGCAGTTCTCGAACATGACGCTGCTGTTGCTGACGGTGAAATCTTTCTCAATGCGCAGAGCTCCTCCTTCTCCGTCCTGGCCACTCCGAGAATTAAAATCTCAAATCCAAAATAACGCTTCGTCCTGCACACAAGTCTGTTCGGCTGCGATTGATGTGCATCCCTGGTCAGGCTTTATCAAGTCGTTGTAGCATTACTTGGCACGAGAACTGAGTTCTACAAGCAGAGTGGGCAACTATCACTCAGCAGACTAAAATGCAGGCCTGCTTTGCCGTGTACCGCATGCCACCTCGTGCTGATGCTGCTTGTTAACACGGTAATGTTTTTTGTTGATGATGGCAAGCATGCCATGCTGTCGCATGCATGCAACAATCATGCCCGGCGATTCGTAGGTCTTTCACGGAACATCTGGCTGGAAAAGCTGATGCACACAAACCTTTCAAATTGCACAGTGATTTTGAGGTCGCTTGGCGACATACTGGCAGATGCTGGCCATGCCGGTGTGGCATTGGCAAGCACGACAATTGCTTAAGGAAGAAGACCGAGTATCACCAGCTCTTCAAAGTGGGGACGCTATCGGGTCCCGTGCATTGCCGCTCAAGGACGAGTGTCCGGTATGGCGGGCTGCAGCAGCACGGCCAACAAGCAGTCAAGCACACAGGCAGTGGCAAACGCTCTAACAAGTGGATCTGGCAGTGCACCAGATGCTTGATCGTATTGTATTCGCATGTATTCGCCATAGATACATCCTCGATAGCAAACAAGATGAATGGTTGATACGACTAGCAGCGACTTATACACTTCACATCTTCACGGTTCTGGGTTTGGCGGTGGGACCTTCGAAATGACAGACTGGGTGATCGACATTCTGTTCTGACTACACAGAGAAAACAAAACCCCGGCTGGCCCGCAAGTTGCACTCCAAGGTTTCTGCTACCTTTTGCATGCGAACACGGTTCGATGCCCTTGTTTGCAAAACGGGTCTGGCTTGACTGCCGACTCAAGAGCGAGGGCTGCCGTCCGAGTTTAGGGGCTTTGGGTTCTTGGGGTTGGGGTCCTAGTAGGGCCGTGTTAACGGTTGGCGAGTTTGAGGCTTGGGCTTCGTAGGTGCAGGGCTTTACGTGTTCAGGATTTGTTTGGAACGTCCCAGCCTGCATTCTGTTTCTGCAGCCCACGAAGCTGGCGTTCGCGGCAATCACCGTCATCTTCCCGCTCACACTGATACCTTCATGAGGGCCGCAAACCCGAACTGCTGCCCCTGACTCTTCCTGCTGCCCGAGATGCAGGGTCCTTCCAGCTCCTGCTCCCCCCTGATCTGTATCTCACCCGTCAAGACCAAATTGCCTGTCGCATGCAGACATTGTCTCAGTTCTCCACCCTTCTCCGAGCATTCACCCCTTGAAGTTTCGAAACGCTCAAAACACGTCAACGACTGGATTCCAGTACCCGGCCGTAGAAAGTCACGGGTGCCTTGAAAGGTCAGCGGCTCCTTGAGGGTCACCTCGCAGGCAAACTCAAAGGGAGAAAGGAGGAGGTCCTCGGGATGTAAGCGAGGCTGGAGGCAGAGCCGCAGCAAGTTTGAGAGATTGAGGCTTGCAGCTTGCGGCTTCGCGCAAACAAATTTGCATGGTTCATCGGAACCAGAAGCTTTAGTCGAAGAATCGCGGAACTTGGAGCTGCACCATGGTCGCTTTCAATTTCCCGGCCTGCAGCCCTGGCTGCCCATGCCAGGTGCAATTGGTGCTGAAGATGCGTGCCGTGTCAATGACCTGAATGCATCTTCGAATCCAGTGCACGCGAGGCTGGCTGTTACAACTTCATGCGTCACCAAATTATACTGCAACCGTCAAGAGCTAAAAACCACTCAAGCACAGGCTCGCGACGTGTCTGCCAGTGCTCGGAAGTCCATCGCAGTGAGAGTATTCGGCCTGGGATGCACAGCAGCTGGAAAGAAGTGCAGGGCTCCAATTGGCGAATCGCTGGCGTAAAGAGGTTTGGAGATCAAGATGCGTAGTGAAAACATGCAAGGCCTCAAGGCTGCTTGCTCTTGCGGCTTGTGGCGAATGCTACACGGTTGGAGAAGTGTCGCTATGAGAAGTCAAAACGGCTCCACTTCTCCTTGATTTCGGGTGGCGTTGACAGCCGCTACATGGCATTAGAGCTTCTTAAGCTATTTCTGTAGCATTCGTGAACTCTGAACCTGCAACCGCAAGCAACGCGGACAAGCGACTGAGTCGCTTTCCAGAAACGCAGTACCTGCCTCGATCAGTCAAGCGAGCCCTAGTTTAGTCGGGTTTAAGATGTAGAATTTAGGGAAGTCTGAGGGGCTGTTGGCACGTTTGTGCTTTAGCTTGGTCCAATCCGAGAGAGCATGTGCCCATGCCTACCTCAAACCCACGGATCCCGGGTCCCAAAACCCTGTAAACCCCTAGACCCCAAATCCCAGAATACACTCCCGGGACCACGAAGCCTTGGTCCGGTCGTTAGGGCTTCTGAAGGCTTCAGCTCTGGGGCCTTAAGCTTTTAGGGCTTTAGGGCCTTTGTCCGTGGAACAAGCCCCACAGACAACTGTTCAGGGCCGCTTCCACCATCGTCTATATACTTGTTCGGAAGCGCTGTAAGTTTCAGTCGTGGCGGAAGCATCGAACTTGGAGATTTGCGCTGTAGGCACTAGAATAACCGGAAGAGCCGTCGACGGTGTTCACGTAAGGTTGTTCACAATGCACAGGTTCTAAAAGATGTTCAAGTCTTGATTGAGTTTTGCCATCGCCCGAATACCAAAACTCGCCGAAAGAAAGGCTGCAGGCGAAGCTTGAAAATCTAAGTTAACCATGAATTCAGACTGCCACACCTTGGCAGCCAGCAAAGGAATCCCTCAGACTTGCACTCGAAATAACTGTCTCTGCTAGTCCGAAACCCGGACCTTTATCCGAGGAATCCTCTGCCCTGGAGTTTTCAAAGCCATGGCGAGCCACAGATCGGAAAGCCATCTAGCGAGCTTATCCAACAGAAAGCTGCAAACCCGAAAATCCAAAAAAAAATCTGTCACAAAAGAGGCCTCTGCAATCGGGCGGACATCTGGAGGCGCTACCTGCGCAGCTTGAGCTTCATCAGGGCTGAGAAGCTTCCCGGTCGACCAAAAACAGCCGAAACCGGATGCACTCATCTGCAAAACCAGGATGGCCCAGAAGACCTCAATCGAGCTGAAGAGCTGAACTTGGGGGGACTGCCGTCGGCCTCAGTTTCCAGGAGCTGCTGGACCGCCTCTCGCGAAGGGCGCACAGCGCAGCCGATGATGCACAGCCCTGGGGCCGCTTCTGGGGTACCGCGAACCGGTTGGCTTGCAAGGAAACGGCTTGGGTACGACATGCGTTTGGAAACCAGCGCAGATCAAGCCAAGGCTCCCAGAAGGATCGTGGCGAAGGTCCCGGAACAGGCCATGAGCCAGAGACATGGAAGGCACCCCGGCTTCAGCCTATGAAGTCAAACAACGGAGCCATGAGCTCTCTGGCTGGGAGCCAGGGCTGTGGCTGCGGCACACGTCACACCTTTACCTCCTTGTTCCAGTCGTCAACCTCATGCATAACAACTCCTCCACCCTTATGTTTGACTCTGTGAAAATATGAGCCCGTTCGTGTTTCTGCAAAAATCGTCTGATTAGATGCAAGAGAGACAGGAGCGTTCGCGCGCCGTTGCGAGGTCTTAAGGCGACAGCATGAACGCAGTGTATACGAACAGTTGTCGACGGCTGTCTTTGCTCAAGCGGTTTAGCACCTCTTGTGTTCGGAGTTTAAGGAAAATGACTCGTTATTCGTCATCCACGTCTCACGACTCTGGCTCTTTCTTCCCCACCCAGCCACCCACACCCCGTTATATGCAACTGCCAGTTTGCCTGCAATGCAGAAGCGGCTTAAAGGTCTCTGGTCTGGTGACCAACTGCCAGCCTACGGCTGCGGCAGTGAAACACCAAGGACGAATAGCAGGCAGAAGTTCATCCTCATCCAATAACAACAGCCACCACGTCTATGGTCGTGCAAGGTCTTTCCAGGAAAGATCAGGACAGACTGCGCTACTGCGTGTCTAGAGGGTCCATTAAGTTCCAGATACCCCCAGAGACCCCTGCTAAGTATACTTTGCTATGTCATGATATGCCCCCAAAGCCCAAAGCCCTGTTCCAATTACTGCGAGCCCTGGTTTTTCAACCCCTAAGGAGCCCTTATAAAACTTATACGAGCCGTACTCGAAAAAGCAACTCAAAATCTTAAGGCACCGTTTTTGATTTTAACCGCCGTGGCAAAGTTTGAGGCTGTAGTCCTCCAAGCTCACTTGGCTGCTTGCCTGCGGCAGAACATCGATTTGTGGACTGGGGTTTCAGGGTGAAGGCTTTGAGGGTGTAGGGTTTGGGGTTTAAGGGTTTAAGGGTTTGAGTTTACTGTTAAGGGGCCTTAAGACATAGAATAGCATATGGGCCTTAGCAATAAGAACAGGCTATAATGGAAAATGGGGATCCCTAATGAATAGTATTGCTATCTGTTCAGGCTTGTATATTCGGGTTTGGGGATCGTATTTATATAAGTTTGAACATGAAGGTTTAGTGGGGCTCTTATACATGATAAGGGCGTTAATTGTGATAAAGGTTTAAGGCTTCACAGGCCAGGAGGTCACAGCAGGACGGAATCCTGTGAGCACACGAATCTCGTGTGGTCGCACCTGCAACGGCGCAGAAGTTCCAATCAAGACAACTCGACATTCGTACCGAAGTTTCAGAAACGATGGGACCCTATGACCCCACCACCAAACTCACTCTTATTTGCTTTCGGATCTTGATCGCAAGGATCTACGGCTTTGGCTGTGTTTGGAGCCCGATCCTCGCAAAAACTCAACTCCGCAATGTGGTGCCGTAGCAGATTGCCAGAACAGTCTTTTCCTCTCCAAGCTGAGGTGCCCTAAACCCCAAACCCCTCGACCCTAAACCCTCAACCCCTGGTTCCCTGAAGCCCTCAACCCGCGGTTCTTCCTGCCTCTGTTCCCGGACCAGCTCTTGGATCACTCGAAAAGCCATGATGGCACCTGGGGCCCGTAACCTCTGAGCCTGAGCCCTAAACTCTAAAACCCTAAACCCTGAGCCCTAAACTCCTAAACTGGAGCCCCGTATCATACCCTGAAACCCTAAACCCCGAGCCCTGACCCTGAGCCCGGTATCATGGCGCGTGGGATAAGGGCCGCAAAACCCAGATAAACACCAGAATCCTAAAGGTGTGGTATCAAAGATCACAATCACGAACAGTGACAAACCTCCAACGTTTAAGTCGTCTTCTAGGCGTCGCCATGGTCGTCGTGGTTGTTGTTGCTTGCTTTTGCTGGTGCGTTGCTGTTGCTGTCTCTGTCCGCTGTTCGCTGTCGCTATCACTGTCGTCGTCGTTGTCATTATTGCTGCTGTGGTTGTGTTCGTGGTTGTTGCCAGGTTCTGTTGGTAACAACATCATCGTCACTCATCAAAACCGACACCACCCTTGCCACCGTCACCAACATGACAACTCCGTCGATGATCCTAGCGAGAATGACAGCAAAGCAGCAGCAACAGCAGTAGCAGCAGCAGTAAATCAACACCACCGACAATAACTACAATAGCAGCGGAGACAGCAATAGTACTTGTAAAGCTCAAATTCTTGTTCGAAGTACAAAGCCACAAATGATTGCCACTTTGGGAATCTAGCATTCAGGCTTTGCAGTTTTGGGATCTCAACTAGTGGGGCTGTTATGGCAAAGAAGGGAGCATCAACCTTCGCTGCTTCACCAAGCAGCTTGCCACCGCCGCAATGCCTGCAGTTGCGAAGATGATCGACTGCTGAGTGGGTACCGAATGCCCCCAATGGAACTCATTCGCAAGCCTCGGCAGTCTTGGATGCAAGGACCGTGCTGCGGCTTCTTGACCGGGGATGCATGCCGAACCTGAATACATGATGATTATTCTATCATGTACTCGCTCGCGGTTCTGCCTTGCCGAGCCCGAGCGTGCAAGCTGTGTGTGCTATTCTATCATGTACCCGAATACCCATCCCAAATTTTTTTGAGGCCCCTAAATACACGAGCTTCGGATTTTTTGGTTTGAACCATCAGAACGGAGGAGCTCCGGTCTTGGACCTGACCGTCCCGTTCCGGGGTGAGGGTCTTGGGTCTAGGGTAAACCCAGAAGTCCCAAATGCCGAAATAGCCCGAAATTCAGTGATTCGGGCTGAGCCGCAAAGCACTCTAAACCTGCAATCTTACACCCTCAGTTCTACAGCCGAAACCCTCAAGCCTAAAACTTAAACCCAGAACCTTTAACTGCAAACCGTAAACTAAACCCTCAGTCACGCTGCAAAGTGGACACACTCGTGATCATCACCGTCGCAGCGAAGAGCAACCAGATTTCGATCCTGCAGGAGTTTTGGGATATGTTATACTCACACCAAGTGTTGGGGTTTAGGGCTGTCAAGACAAAGCTTAGATGGTAGGATCCTTGACATAGCCCCTCACACTGGCCCAATGTGCTGAGAGATCAGCCAAACATTAACCACTTGCTGCAGAAGCTGTAATGGCCAGAACAAGTGTTTGGAGTGCTTTTCTAGCAAGATTATTCCGATCTCTTTACTTCACTTTACTTCACCGGAACCCAGCGCTCCAGTTCCACTCCGGCGAGTGGTAAGGCTTGTAGCGGCAGTACAGAAACAGCGACACCGAAACCACAATGCCTGGCAAAGTCCAAGAGGCTGCTTTGATAGGCCCATGTATTTTTTATTTGTCGCCTCTGTTCCTCCTGCCCGGATTCAGAATCTCAAGGTTCCTAGGGTTCAGGGTTCAGGGCGGATAGCTGTTCTGATGCTTTGGGTGCTCAGGGTTTAGATTTTGGACAACAACACGGACTGGATTCTTGATTATGCGACTGCACCTGCCGATCTCAGAAGCTTGCGAGACTTCTCCAAGCATTTCTGGCTTCGGATGTATAAACCGGTTTGGGGAGTCTTCCGCTAAGGCTGGCATCGAGAGTCTGGAAGGTCGCAAGCCCGATTCAATTCAACGAAGAATCCGGCCACTTTGCCCACGGAGCCCGTTTCTCAATACTTGCAAAGTCTGAATAACCATGCGATCCCCTAAAAAGAACTCCCTCCAGCATGACAAAAGCCCGGAAGACTCGACCCGATAGTCTCTTACACACGCTCGCCTAGGCAGCCCATCTGCAACGCTGGGGAGGAGTCGATGGGCAGCAAAGCGCCGATGAACGTGAAGAGCGTCTTCCTGCCACCGGGTTGAAGGCATCGGGCCCGACAAGATTCACGCGACGCACACTGAACACTGCTGGGCAAAAGCGTATTCAAAACTGTTCACACCTAAGGCCTTTCCTGTGTCATGCGAGTGGAAACACTGTGATCTTCGACATGGGCTAGTGCTGATGGCGGCAATAATCGTGAACCCCACCACAAGATGACAGCACGGCTCCTGATCAAGCGCTCCGTCTCGAAGAGCGAGTATCTGCGCTGGTACTTGCTGGTCAGGAAGACCACGTGGCTGGGTTTAGGATCCTGCCAGCCGAAATGTCACGGCTCGCGGCTGAGGCTTCGGAGAGCTTGACTAAAGAGAAGCGCCAGGCCTGAGAACTTAGGGGCCTTTCTAAGTCCAACAGCCTCCCTTTCTCCGCAGACAGACTCCCTCAATGAGCGTGCACTAGCTCACTTCCTGACGTAGCGCTTGGTTCCCCTCGGTTTAGGGCTTAGGCTTTGGGGCCCGGGGCTTAGGACCCCTAAACCCTAAAAGCCTAAACCCGAAACTCTCAAAAAGTTGGGGTTTGGGTTTAGGGCTTAGGGTTAGGAGTCTTGGAGGTGCCCGCCTTCGGATGGTGCTTCGGTCATTTCTGGGTTAGGTCTTCAGCCTCGAGGCAGGGGATCTGGAGTTAGGGTTTCCGAAGTGGCAGTGCTTACCATGCAGTGCCCACATGAAGATCTGACTAAGCCCTTAACCCTAAACCCTGTTTGGGTGTGCAGTCGAAACCCTTGACCCTAAACTCTAAACTCCTGAAACCCTTACAGTTTAAATAAAAAATCGAAACCCGTAACCCTAAACTCAACCCCTTCGGGCTTAGAAGCCACGCGAGTTTCGTCGGGCATCCCCACCCTTCGCCCGCCTCGTCGGATCTGGAAAGGCTGAGCCTCGAGGCAGTCGGAATGAACGACTCGTGCTGAAATATACCGGTCCTGCAGAATTACTAGTATGATTCCTCAGGGTTCGTCACTGCATCTATCTATTCCTTAAAGCTCCTTCATATAGCCATGGGATATCCGGGGCTCCTTAATTATGGGATTTCTAGGGGTTCTCCAATGTGATGTATTTACAGTAGAATAGAACCTCCGAGCCGCTACTGACCTCAAGCCTCCGACTTCCTGCCTGGCACGCTAGCCAAAGGGTTTAGGGTTTTGAGTTTAGGGTTTAGGGTTTAGGGTCTAGGGTTCCTGGCTGCCCAGAGACTCCAGCGCCCTGAACCCTAAACGCTCACGAGAACCCAAACACGATTCAAGAGAATCTTAGGGTCAAGGCTTAGGCTTCAGGGCGGTACAGACCCCGCCTAGGGCTGTGGCAGCCCTGGCTTGAAGTTTCGGTTTTAGGGTTCGGGCTGCAAGGTGCAGGGCTTGGGGTGCAGGATGTACGATGTAGAGTTTAGGCTTTAGGCTAGCAGCGCATGGCCTACAGTAATCTGAAACTCAACCTGACACCAGCCTTTCAAGCTAGGAGTATACGAATGTAATTGATGCATTGGAGTTTGAGATCGACCACAAACCTTCGAACCCCTGGAAAACCATGAAATGCAGCGAAAGCAACTGCGAAACTCAGATGCCCCCAGGGCTGAACCCGAAACAGCTCAGCAATTGACCCTACACCGCCAACGGACAAGGGGCCATGTCCAAAGAGCGGCGACCATAAACAGAATGAAGCCCCCCACCACCTCGAGCTTCAGCGCGGCTTGACGGTGTTGGGAAAGGCAATGGAGCTGGATAACACTAGCATCAGGGCCGTGAGGGTATGTCGCTGTTGACTTCACTGTCGGGGTATGCATCTATCCATCGATGTGGCCAGCTTATGGGTCTTGAGGTACATAACAGATGATTGTAGAAAACCGAACGATAGATAGACAGGTAGGGATATATAGACAGACAGAAAGACCGACAAACCGGTAGATAGATAGATAAAGGTAGACAGACAGACAGACAGACAGACAGACAGACGGATAGAGTGAGATGGAGATCTCAGCTCTTCTTGCATACAAAACGCAAATCTTGAACTGAGGACATCCTGCAAAGCAAAGGAAGGCGGAATCAACATCGTAAACCACCGAAAACTTGGTGTCCTTCCAACTTTGCTAGATGCTCAAGAGGTCATACATCTACGGTTAAGGAAGCGTCAGTGTCCCTGCCCGGGAGGAATCTTAGCTGAAGCCTTTCAAGCAACTTAAAGGGTCCCTGCTGTCAATTCTCTGGGTCGGCATCCAAAACCTACACCCTAAACCCTAAACCCTAAACCCTAAACCCTAAACCCTAAACCCTACACCCTACACCCTAAACCCTAAACCCTAAACACCTGAACTCCTCAACTGCCCCTCTGCCCAACCTGCGTCGCCATGGCGAGTCCTCCACTTCCAGGGAGGAAAGTGCACTCAAGGCCCTGATCGCGCCGCAGGCGGTAGCCTGAGACTTCGGTAGTGTAGGGGCCTTCATAATTAGAATAGGGTTTTTGGGGGCTCCTTTATGGTATAGTTATAACAAGGAAGTCTAACAATAATGTTGGTCATGATTTAGGCTTCTATAGTAGTTTTTCCTTCTTAGGGTCGGCATAACCACGACGCCTTACATCCCTCAACCCCACAACACATCTCACATCTCAGAACAACGAATCCAAGCCTGCAACTCTCAGGACTTGTCAACACTCGAAACCAGACTGGGAAACCAGGAAGCTTGCAGTTTCGTGGCTTCGTGGCCGCACAGATGGAGCTCGAGATGTTGATCGTGGGTGTTGGGTTGAGGATTCGGTTTGTGCATGCTGGGTGTCGAGGTAGGATCTGGAGCAGAGGGTGCCTTCAATTTGCTTTGGCTCTTCGAGGATCGGGCTTCCGTCAGGATCGGTGATCGATGCGGTGTTAGCATTTCCTTGTCTCTTGTTAAAGAAACTTGGGCCCCTGGCACACCAGATACTTCCCAAAGTCGGCAGCTATTGTGGGCAGGAAGCAGTTCATGCCTCCATCATGGCTGAAGAGTGCTTGCGGGCTGAGTCTCGAAAAGCGCAAGGGATCTCTGCAGAAGAGGAAGACCGTAAAATGGACACAAAGACACAAGTATTCTGCACACAAATACACAGACAGACAGACAGACAGACAGACAGACAGGACCAGACCAGACCAGACCAGACCAGACCAGACCAGACCAGACCAGACCAGACCGACAGACCGACCGACCGACAGACAGACAGACAGACAGACAGACAGACAGAGAGAGAGAGACACAGAGAGACAGAGAGACAGATAAGTAGGTAGCTTGTTAGCTAGGTAGCTAGGAAGCTAGGTGTGTGGTGAGGCAGGTAGGTAGATAGGCAGAAGGCAGATAGGCAGATAGGCAGTCAGGCGACTACTGTAAGAAGATGGGAAGACAGGTAGATAGGTAGAGTAGGTACAAGTTGTACATATAAGCACATAAACATATGCGTATTGGCTTTAACACGTACACACACACGTGTACAAATGCATAAAACCACAAGCATATACATGCGCAAAAACGAAGACATGAATATAAGAATATGCGAATTATGTATGCACACATACATTCCTACCTACCTACATACATACTTACATGCATACATGCATGCACGCATGTATGTACGTGTGAACAAGCATTTATACATCTAGGTCATACATGTATACACCTGCCTTCACTGAGTTCAGCTGTTTGCAGACACACGAACACACATGTACCGATCTTCTGAGAGCTGTCGCAATGCCGGGCGGGTACCTTCAACGCAAAACCTGCTTCGGACTTCGGGTTTAAGGTTTGAGTTTTGAGGTCCAGGCAGAGGCGACAAAGCACAAGAATTTCTCGGATCAATGAAGCAACTCTTCGAATTTCATACTTGGACTGGGGGGTCCATTGCTCCATGCAGAAAGGATTGCCGTGTCTAGAGGCTTTCCTGCTGAGATGCCCGGGCCTGCGATGAGCGCAGCACGAGAATCCTTCATCAAGGACAGCAATGAAATCAGCCCGGCTGCCACAGCCTAGCAATGTCGGAGACTGGCAACTCAAATGCAGGGTTGGGAGCCTAGAAGGCGAGGCACACTACTCAATACTCTCGAAGGCTGCTTGAAGACTCCGAAAACACGCACATTTTCAAACACACCGAAGCCCTGAACTTACAGCTATGGTAAATGCGCTATTACTATGGCATCCGTCTCTCTGAAGGACCCCACGAAAGATAGTAGACTCCTTCGTCGCAGGACCCCATAAAGGAGCCTTCATGATAGCATAGTAGGATCCAAAGGACCCCATGGATCATGGAGGCCCCACAGCGGTATTAGCAAAAGAAGGATCCTTGCTACAAGGATCCCCTAAAGGAACTCTTGAAAGAACCCTTAGAGAAACACTTGATGGAAACCCTTCCAGGAACCTTTGAAGGAACGCCTTAAAGGAGCCATTCGCATCCCCGGCTTCTAGTTCCCAGGTCTCTGCGGCCCAGCGACCACATCCAGTAGGTGAGCGCCCCATCTGAGCCGCAGTTCGCAGGATAACCGCAATGAGGATTTACGGCTCAGGGTTGAGATGTTGGGGTTTAGGGTTAACCGCGGAGTCATCACTGCTGTGCAGCCGAGACAGTACACCCACGGGCTGTGAAAAACTAAAGTCAAAGAGGGTCTCATCGAGCGGGACATCTTGCGACCAAGCCACATGGTCTTCTCGAAGCCGACGTAGGACAAGAGGCACTGCGAGGAGGCGCTGCGTAAAGATCCTGGCAGGAGCGGGGTCCGACTGGCCGATAGCGTTTAGGGTTCAGGATTGCAGGTTTCAGAGTTTCGGGTTTCGGGAGTTTAGGGTTTATAGCTCAGCGCGATGCATTCCGGGATAACCTTGCGTCTCTGTGCTGCGGCTTCCAGCCGACACGAAGACTTGACCTTCCGGTAGGCTTGAGGGTTTGTGGCTTAGCATTCAGGGTTCAAAGTTTAGTGTTTTTTTAGACTGGGGTGTGCACTTTCTTTTTGCTGCACTATCCTCTGTGGCCTCTCAGCCAAGCAAAACAGAAACCATCCACTCCCTCCCATCATGACACCCGCATTGGACCCAACGTTGTAGAGACACCCTCAAATGGCACAGTCAGACACCCTTGAAGGACACCACGAAGTGCAGAGTGTCACTCACCACCCTCTGTGTTCATGGCATTGTTGGAGTTCATCGCAGAATGCATCATAGAGGCCGTGGCATGACCATCACCATCGTTACCATCACCCCCACCTTCAACCCGGTTCGTAGTCAGACCAGGACCATGTCGATCATCAAGGGTTTATGGTATATAATTCCTACACCCCCCGTAGAACCATAATAAAATAATATCTCTAATATTCTCTTGGTTTTTATATGAACCAATATAAAGATAATTCCTAAGGAGACTATAGAGTCAGTTCAGGTTCAGGGTTGTATGGTTCAGGGTTCTCCGAAACTTTTTCGGGTGTTTCGGGGGCTTCGTTGTCAGGGGCCCCATACCCTAGGAAATCGCAGGAAAAGACCACCCGTTTATAGAGGGAAGGCTCCCTAAAGCTCCCTAAAACCCTGCACCGAAAACCCTCAGCCCTAAACCAATAAAACCCTAAAGCCTAAACCCTACTAGACAAAAACTCCTGACAACACTAGGTCTGGGATCCCCAGGAGCTCCTTGTCCGGAAGCCGCCTCGGCCGTGTGCGCAGCCGCATTGAAGAAGAAGTTCGCCTGGGTTCAAGGCTCTGACAAACGGCGAAGTGAGATAAGGCAATGCAATATAGTACAATATACAGTACAATTCAATTAAGTTCAATATGACTACAAGTGTAATGCAATGTCATGCAATATAGAATGAGATAGTGTGATGTACTGTTTCATAGTATGGTACAAGATGATGTAACGTTACATAATGTAACAGCAGATAATATACAATGATATTATATACTTGAATATAGCTTAACAGAATAGAATACAACATAGTCTAATATTGTACAATGCATTACAGAATCATATAACTTGAGGTCATGTTGTAAGATCATATGCTGTAGCATGATAGAATGGGAAAAAGGGGAAAGCTCCGAAATGCCGGCGGAGCGGCGGCTTCACTTTTGATGTCCTTCGCCGTCTGGGTCTGCAAAACGGCAGCGAGGATCCTGGTCTAGGGTTAAGGGTTTTGAGGTTTAGGGCTTCAGGGTTTCAGGGTTTTAGGCTAAACCAAAGCCCATACAGCAAGTGATAATATGCCGGCAAGAAGTCGTGTTGGAGATGGTGGCAAAGGCCATCAGCTGGTTCAGGTAGATGCTGCTTTGCTTCAGGTCCCCGGCCTCAGCTCCGTAGCCGAGGCAAGCTTGGGTTCAGCGCTTTCTGTGCTTTCGGGCGGCTTAAGCTTTAAGGCTTCAGAATTTTAGGACTTTAGGATGGCTTTAGGCCAGAGGTCTTCACAAGAAGCCCCGGACGCCGTCATGCCAAGGGTCCTTCTTGGCTCCAAGGGCACTGAGAGCTCCGAGTGCGAAGAGGAAGGCACGCTGAGACAGGAACATGATCCACTGCACCGCCTGCGCCGGTCCCAGAGACGCCCACATCCCTTGACTAAGGGGGTCAGGATTTAGCTGGCTTCAATATCCCTTCCTTATGAAGTCCTTTGATAAGGGTTTTGCTGTAATCAAGGGTACGGGATAGTCTGAAGGCGTCAAGCCAAATTGGCCTTCCGAAAAACCAGCATTTGCATACAACAAGGTTTCCCAGATGTTCCAGGCATTGGTCATGGGCATCTTGCTGGCTGCATCGCAGTAGGACCACGGTCAAGCAATGGACGTGCTGATTGCAGTTTCGGGTTTGGGCATTGCAGGTATCCACCAAGTTGCGTTGCCGTGGACCACGCACACAACAGAAGCCATCGCGTCAGGCTTCGGAAAATGATGTGAGACCAAAGCCCTTATCTGTGCGGTTTCTCGTACAGGACCACGAAGGCAAAAAAGCAGTGCCTGGCCGCATTAAGCCGCCCTGGACATCCGGAGTGCATGAGAAGAATGTCCTGCCTGCACACGACGGTCTTTGCTGCATGCAGTGCCTCGGCAGCATGCTGCAGGACTACAAGCCGTCTTGCCGCGAGTACGAAGAACAACAACATACTTCAATGTTCATGATCATGAGGTGCTTCAGAATACAGCCGGAGCTTCAAAGAAGCGAAAGGTGTCGGTTCGGATTAAGACGGTTCACTCGCGCCCCAGAGGCTGCACAGCTCTGTAGAATTTTTGGGGGGGTCCAACGTAACAGCGCACCAAGTCATCGAAGTGCTTGTACCGGCTCCGAGAACCCAGATGTCTGGAATCGAGAACCCCAAGCCGAAATTTCCATGGCCAACATCACCAAGACTGGAATTCTGACAAATGAACGCTGTCGAGCCCCGTCAGAAATAAGAATTCGTCTTCTATTTGCCTTCCGCTGGTCTTCTGCAGAAACATGATGCTAATTGATCGGAAGGCCTGCAAGTTCAGACAGTTCAATAGAGTCCAAAGCTTGACAGTCCAGGTGGGGCAAGGAGCACGAGAACACACTGCTGTCCGCCATGGCATACTCATCGCTGCAGCTCGTGCAGCCTTGGCCCCGGTAGCCTTGGGATCTTTCGCTGACGGCGTCGTGATGTTCCAGCCGTGCTTATCTGCTTCAGATTCAGGGTCAAAGGTGGCGTGGCGAAGCAAAACCACAAAATGTCCGCGTCAGAAGAACGACGCGCAATATGGTGGATTATAGTTAGAATTGGGCTTTGGGGCATACTATGATTATCGTGATAATCAACAGGTGATAAGGACACTCTTCAGGCTGTTACATTACCTCTGCAAGCCGCAACCCAAAGCCACAGTCAAACCTGAACCCCTTGGAGCTCAGGCAGCCATCTGCACACATTGCCACGTGCACCCTTCCGTGTGATACATCGCCCCCAGGGCAGGCAGCCTCAGGGATGGACTTCTTGACTTCTTGGGTGTTGGGCCAAGTGAAGCGCCATAGGGGTGCCGTGCATTCGCGCTCTACTTCTTGATAGGAGCTTCGTGTTCGAGTGCACGGAGCACCGTCTCGTTGCCGAAAGATCCAGTCTTGAGGCTACTGTGTCACTTTGGATGTTTGCTAGTAGGTCTTTGGCATCTCAAAAACTCTGCACCCCGAAACCCTTCTGGAACCCTTGAAGATGCCCTGTAAGCTTCATGGAATCTAATATAGAATCCTTAAACGGAACCCTCATAGAAGCGTTCTAGAAGCCTTAAAGGGAACCCGAATCATCCCAGCCTCGTTGGGACAGTGGAAGCTGCGGTTGACGTCCTCCAACTCCACCATGAGCCCGGGCCTCAGACTCCAGGGGGCTTTAGGGCTTTAGGGGTTTGGTGGTTTAGGGTTTAGGGGTTTAGGGTTTAGGGTTTAGGGTTTAGGGTTTTTGAGGGTTTTGGCTTAGAGTTGCTTGGGGTTTACGTTCAGGGGTCGTGGCATCTTGCTTTGGGCTACTGGGCCGTTGCGCAACGTTGGTAGGGGTACGTTCCCGGTTAAGACGGCTTCAAGCAAGAAGCCGCTGGACAAGAGCCCTGGTTAGGAGCCAGCTGGGGGTCCGGCCTCCAGCCGAAGGATTTCTGCGAAAGTGGTGTTTGGGGTTCGTGCTGGGCTTTGGTGTGTGTTTTCAGGGTCTAGCTTTGGGAGTTTACTTACAGAAATTGTCTAGGAGTTTAGGGTCCGGGTACGAAGTCTTGACCGAAGTCTTGAACATCCTGATGCAGTCTGCTCGGACAACGAAATTCGATGTTGGGCGTCCTGCTGGTGCCCTCTGCAGCTTGCTGCTGCTTGCCTGCCTCCTCCTTTTGCGTGGTTTGAGATACTGCTCAGAAAACGAAATTTGTCAAATGAATGCTCATGCCTCCGTTCGAAAGACTGCTTGGAAAACAAAGCTTTAAATGAAGTAGAGCTTCTCACGTGACTGACTGTTCTGTTTCGTGGCTCTGCCCTTGTATCGCCAATCGGCCAGGGTTGGACCCGACACCCAAACCCAAAAGCTTCTAGCTGGTCAATGTAGGACAAAGCACTCCATCTTCAGCTCGCTGGCCAGGCACTTGGAAGCCCCTTCGGGGCACCGACTGCACGGCCTGGAGACATACTTACTTGATATCTGAAACCTCCGGCACAACACCGCTCACAAATACTGCTGGAAGTCGACCCGAAAGCCCCTTCGGAGATGGTATGCTCTCCGCGGCTGACGAGAACTATATGGTTCGTTCTGGACTGACATTCTGTTCTATGAGTCGCGGCGAAGCTGCAGGTGTTTTAGTTTAGGCTTAGGGGCTTGGACCACAAGCGATTCAACAGCAAACCCAGGATCACAACAGCCTCCTTCCACCCTGATGAATGTCCCCATTCGATCTGAACACGGCAGGCCTTTTCGTCATGTTCAGAACCTGCGTGTCCCCTGGCCTGCATGCCTGGCGGGTCTTGTACGATCTTGTCTTTGACTTCTGCAGGAAATTCGCGGTACGGTTCGGTTCTATGTCGTGTATCTAGCTAGGACCCGCATTGTCAAGGTCGGCTTTCGCCGACCTCAGTCGCAAAGAGACACGCGCGGCGTCACAAGTCACAAGATATCCTAGAAGATTTCTCCTGCGCGCCTAGTGGGAGCTCCACAGGGCTCCGAACACCGGGCTCTACACTTCAAGCCAACGCAGGCCAGCGATACCAGGCAGCCGAAATCACGCAACTCTTCGAAATCCACCGACCCTGTGCCCAAAGGGCAAAGGAACGCGGCACTTCTGGCGGCGTTCGCATAGAACGTGCCTGGATAGAAAAGCTTCTCGTCTGGTCAACTCACGGCTGAAACCTGCAGTCAAAGCTCGCACTGCAGTCCAGTGGCAAGTGGAGGTGCTCGTACAATTCATTACGTCGTCCTTGCGGCACCGGAACGACAGGAGACTTGGGTCGTCCTTGTAATCCCTCCTTTGCATGACATGCGAATGCCTCCGAGCTTCAAGAGAAAGTTTGTGCGCTGAGATGTAGATGCCGGAGCTCGACTCCGTACTCAGGTGAGCGGAGCCGAGCTTCAACAGGCCTGCCGCGGCAGGATGCAACTCTTGAACCTGATCTTGAGACGACTGTCCTCGGGCTCTTGATGCAGAAGCAGCACTAAGGGGGGTAAGGCTTTGAAGTCCAGCACAAGGAATCTTAGAACACAAGGAGTAAAACAACTCGAGCCGTGCGAGAGAGGAAAGGGGGAGAGCCAGACAGCCAGACAGGCAGGCAGACAGACAGCCAGCCAGACAGACAGACACAGAGAGAGAGAGAGGGGATCGCTGTCGCAGGTAGCAAATCACAATCTTGGAAAACCTTGGAAAGCGATCGCAAACCCACGGATGCACGAATCTGCTCGTGCGAAGCAAACCGGCAACAGGAGTGGGTGGGCCGCTAGGTGGCCAACCTTCTGCCATGCCACAACCCTAAACCCTGAACCCTGCCTCCCGATCTCGGACTGCGGCAGGAATCAAGGCCGGGAGTGCCAGCGTTGCACATTTCACAAAGCTATCTGGGTCGGGAGCCCAATCTGAAAAATCATTCTTAAGGACCAACCCAGAACGCAACGCCAACAAAGCAAAAATCAACCGTTCTTGACCACAGCTGTGTCCGAAAACTGCATCCTTCTAATAAGGCCCCCAAAATAAGGTACCCCTAATCTTCGGAAACTCCCTTGTGGCCTGAGACTGCGATGTCGTTGACATTGGCTTCGCTGCCCCTAGACAGTGTGAGCTCCTGGGGCCAACTGCCATGATAGCACTTGCTGAAAGGCATATGGTCCCGCATGCCGCTCGACTCGAGCGGCAGAAGCCATCCTTCAAACTCACTCTCTCCCAACTGGTAGATTTTATATATATATATATATATATATATATATATATAGGGCTCGGATAGCCAGCAGCGGCTGGAAGATCGTAGCCCCAGGCGCCTCCTTTCACTCAGCGCCGCCATTACCAAAGGTGTTGAGGCGCGGAGTCCTCCCTGGCATCGCCGTCTCCGAGCACGCCGAGCTTCGGCGCGTGCTCGCCTTCGATCTGGACAGTTACTGTCCACACGCCAGCGCTTTCGCCTGGCTGCACACCACGGCACTTGCCCAGTGCTCAGGAGGTCTCTCCTGAAGCATATGGGAGGCAGAGGTCCCAAGCAATGGGGCAAGGACCAAGAGCGAGGCTACTGGCGGGGTGCTTACTCGCCACAGCAATCGCGGTGGGGATACTATTCGCAGAAGCCTGCCTTCCCGGCCTACGACGGCATCGACCTGACGCAGGAGGACAGAAAGGACGACCGCAAGCCGCCGGGACGAGGCTCGGGCTCGGGTTACCTTACCCAAGACCTCCAAGGGGCAGTCAATGCCACAAGGAAGGCAGAAGCCCGTGTCCAGAAGTTGCACGCCTCCTATACTACGGCACAGGAACAGTGGGTCCTCTACGAAAGGAAAGCCAAGGAGAGCTTCGTCAAGGAGAAGAAGCGCTTCTTGGCCAACCTGGAGAGGATCGAACGCGAAGCTTTGGAGGCGGAGGAGCACCAACACCTATGCAGGTTGACAATCCGCGAGATTGTCACTGGTGCGGGCACCCATGGGACGGAGCTTCGAGCCAAGACAACCACAGAGCCCGAAGTGGAGAAGCTATTCGAGAGTTGGACGGCCGAGGAGGACGACGAAGGCGTCGTTGGCAGAGCTATGGGGTGCATGAGACCCGCCCCACCCAGAACACCTGCTCGCAGACCAGAAGAACCGACCCCTCCGTCTACGCCTCTGCACAGGCCAGGAGAGAAGTTGATCGTCGACCCGGCCCTCTATACGACAGCTGGGCCAGAAGGAGGGACATCTGGGGCCACTCCCAGAAGTCTCGCTACAAGCGGGCCCCTTGGACACAGCGCACCGCCTGGACTCAGCCCACAAATACCACACCATCCTGGGCAAAGAGACAGGGACCAGATCCGTGTCCCCACAGGAGATGCACAGCCTCGTACGGGCATCAAAGAGGCCTCCAAGCGCAAGGTCAGCACTCCAAGACGTCATGTTACCTTGGAGGAGAAGCTTCAGGAACGCAGGCAGCGAGCTGCAGCGTCTGGATCCGCCCTCCGCCCTTTCCGTGTGGGTGTGGAATCTCGGACGCAGGCTACGACGAACCTGCAGCGCGAGCAGGCAGAGGCACTTGCGAAGAAGCAGTTCGAGGACGACGACATGGAAGACACAACGCGAGCCACCGGCTTGCGGGAGATGGAGTGAGATGCCTTGTACAGTGTGACCCTGAGTACGGTCTTGGTTGGGAGCCGGCGTACGGATCGGAGACTACTCCGCTATGGAAGCCCGGAAGGTCTAAGGTGATGTGGGCACCACTTTGGCCTCCCAAGTTCTTCCCTGGCGAAGAGTGTTTTCGTATCCGTGGGTTGTGCGCCCTTATCAAGGCCCTCAGGTGCCACCAAGTTTCTGATCGCTTCGGTGTACAGGTACCAATCCGCTCCTCCACTCCCTTTTCCTGGGTGTCTTCCTGCTGGGTCCTCTGGTGCCATGCTCCTCGTGGATTGAAGAGGTTGCTGACACCGGATGGATTCTCTTTGATGACCAGCTGGGACATGAATTTGTTTTGGTTCGTGCCTTGGCTGGTCCCCTCCCGCCCATCACCCCCTCTTCGCTCCACCGGTTCCACGGCATTCTTCAGCCATTTGCCCTGCTATGTGCGCATTCCCCACGATCGGAGCACACCCAAGAAAGCCGATGGCCATGTTGGTCGACCCAGTGCTGAGGTTTTGTCTTTGTCTCAGACTATTCCTGGCCTCTGCCCCAGTGTTCCAGGGCCCTCGGGACAGCAGCAGAAAGGTCCCTTGGCTTTGAGTATTCCTGCGTGCTGGGAGTCCCTGCGAGGCTCTAGCTATCCAATGGGCCACTTCGAGTGGAAGGTAGGGGCGCGAAACAATGGCATCGGTCGCTCTGGGGCCATGGCCCTACCTTTTCCCTCCCGTGGCATTCATCTCAGCGGCACCCTCCTTTCCCGAGATCCCGCCTTCGGTTTAGGCCCACCCTGTCCTTCTTTTGGGTTATCTAGAGATGCCCTTTCTTTTCCCACCTCATGCATCCTTAGGGCAAGGGCGCGAAATAGTGGCATCGGTCGCTCAGGGGCCACAGCCTTGCCTGATTGCGTGCAGGAGATCGACATCTGGGGAAACATGCGACTTTTGGGTTTTTCAGGTTTGTTGGAACCCTCCAGCCTCCTTGGGCTCCTTCTCTTCCTTGGCTTGCGTGGTTGGCATGCAGGCCCTCCGTCGAGAACTTCACAGGGGCCTAATCGATCAGCTGCACTGAGACAAGACTGCCCAGTGCATCAGCGTCCATATAGCATGAAGCCCGGACGCGCCTGCCTCCAGTGCACTGGCCTTGCCATAGGCCTCCTTGCATATCTCGGTGGTTGCACATTTGTCAGACAACCAGTAGGATCCCTCTTGTGGGTTGAAATGCAGATCTGGTCTGGTTTTCTCTCCTTCCAGGTGGCCCTGACATGTGGATTGTTGCAACTGGTTGCACGCGCCACCATTGGGAGACGTGCCGCATGCTATGGACCTCTTGGCATTTTGCTCTTTTGGGTCCCTGATCAGACGACTTTGGCCTTCTCTGTCGGTTCACCTTCAGCGTCTGCCTTTCTGCCGTCGCCACACCGAGGTTGCAAGAGACACTGCAGAGCACACGGCTCTAGGACCCCTAGAACCCCTGGGCTAAGGGGTTTTTGGTTTAATGCCCTATGCCTCCTGACCCTGCCAGAGGCTGTCCGTGCCGGGCCTCCCGGTCTCTGGACAGCCATGGTTCTCCTTGGATCCTGGAATCGAACCGTGTTGGAGTATGACCAGGCCCGGACATCCGCACGGGCCCCCCCAAGGTCCATACCACAGGCCTCACTTGATTCCTCCGGAAGACTTGATCTCCCAAATAGGTACGTGTGCTGCAGACCCACCAAGATACGGACGAGGCCCCCCGGCAGTCACCAGCCCAGACCTCTGTGACACTCCTCCGCCTTGGAGTGACGAATTTGCTGGCGAACGCCGACATGAGAAGTGGCTCGGGGTTTATGTCTTTACGCCGTATTACCCCACAACCACAGCTGCCATACGCTTTGAAGACACCCCGACCCTCAAGAAAACCTTATACAGGTTGTCAAGGAACAAACGCATGGTCCCCCCAGTCAGATTTTCGACGAGGTCGCCGCGCTGCGACCCCAGAGATTTTCTGCATACGGGTCCTTTGTACGGTTTTCTAGCATAATCCACCACCAGGGGCAGCATGGTCACGCGGCTATTATCCTCGACCTTAGCCGTGTTGGGGGACGTACATTCGCCACAGTTCTGCCCAAGCGCATTATGCTTGAGGAGGTGCTTGACTTCATCACTCCGCTTACTTGGCACAACGACCAGCCTCTCATGCTACAGGTCGGTAAACAGCTAAAAGTATGGCTTGAGGGATCCTCGATTACTCTCCGGAACGGCGATGTAGTCATTGCTACGCACAGTGCACCTGTCTGCCTCCCTGAGATTGGAGTCGAGTCCCTTTTCGAGGATGAAGCAGAGTGGGGAGATCTCCGTCACATGCCGGCGGTAGAGACTACAGACAGTGTCTGCCTTCTCTTTGGGGAGGGCAACCATGGCCAACGTTTCTGCATTCCTCCGCACCATCATTACAACGAAACCTTTGTGCAGGCTGCTGCGAGGTGTCTCGGCAGACAGCCACATGCTCTTTCGATGTGCGCGTTCCCGGTTACAGACCTTGATCTGCATGGGGACCGATGTGCCTACGTTGTCACTGCGGTTGACCGTCCGAATCCACAACAGGACGGTACACCACACAGCGGACGCCGAGACATCTTCGTGCTTTGCGATTTGCGGCCTATGGGGCAGCGACCTCGCTTTGTCCACACCAGCTATCCTGCTGTGCATTTGCCAAGCCTCATCTCCACCTTCGGTTTAGAAGTCCCTCCTATTTTCAAGATTGATGTTATAGGAGGTTTCCGAGACCGGGACGACATCCGGATTGATGGCAGCACAGCACTCCTTTTCTACGCTCGACTGAGAGGGAGCGAAGATGGCCTCTCGTCTGATACTAGTGAATCCAGCTCTGACGACAGTGATGATGAAGAGATGCCTGAACCCAACGGTCCTCGCGAACCCTACCCGCCACCTCCTCCAGGGGAGCCAGACAGCCAGCATTCGGGGGTGCCAGCCGAACCCAATGACTCAGCCGGACTCCTCCGCATGCCTCAGGAGCACAATGTCACTGACCTTGAAGCTCCTGCCGCAGAGGACGATGCGATCACACCTGCCTTTGTTCTTGCAGTCACAAGTGATAGATCGCGACAAGCAGTCGAGACCCACACTGACTCTATAGCTAGTGGAGATCACAACTCCTCTGCGGCAGCGCCAGCTCGTC